GCCCCTGCCCGGGAGACTCCCAGCCCGTGGTGTGGGCCTTGGCCGCCGCAGAGCAGGGCAGGCTCCCGGGGCCAGGTCCGTGCCCTGGTCGGTGACCACGCTCCCCAGGTCCCTGCCGGGATGACGTCCGTGACTGGCGGCAGCCCCCGGGGCTTTCCTGAGGCCTGCCCCGCCTTCGGCCGCCGGCTCCTGAGGCTCCTGAGGCTCCTGTGGCGGCCCCTCGTTCGCCAAAGCCCTGGGACGCGCGTGGCCCTCGGCGCGGCGGCCCCAGGGTGGCAGGAGGCGCCTGCCAGAGTCCGCGCCGTCGCCCCCGCGTCCGGGCGCCTCACCCGCGAGCGTCTCCTCACCCCGCAAGGGCTCCCCCTGCAAACGAACTCTGCCCCCTGCGAGCCGGGACCCCTGGGGCCCTCCATCCCTCCCCCGTCCCTCGAGGCCCGGGGCTCGGCTGGCTCGCAGCGCTGCCGGCGGCAGCGGCTCCCGGAAGCGAGGCCCACATCCGGGCACCAAGCCTCGCTAGCTCGCTCGCGGGGTGGGCGCCCCGCGCGGAGGGCTCGGGCCGTGGCTCGGCCGCCAGGCCCAGACGAACCGCCCAAGCCGTGCTCTGGCCGGCGCTGAAGGCCCCCCGCAAGGTCCCGGGCCTGCGCGGGGGGAATATTCAAGAAGGAAGCCAGGCCCGACCTGGGGGTGGCGCACGCTGCGCGAACCCCGGGCCGCGCCCTCGGTCGGCGCTGGCAGTTTGTGTCCCCTCAGGTGGGCGCTGCAAACCTCTCTGGAAGGGGCCCGGGGGGAGCGCGTGGCTGCCTCTGCACCCTGGTAAGGTGCCGGGACCCACCGTCCAACGAGCGTCTTTTGCGCATCTTCGCCATTCGCTTCTCTCCCCTCGCTGGCCAGAGCGCTCTCCGCGCGGGGGCTGCCCGACACTCTGCCCAGCCCTGGGCGGCGGGTCCCTTGCAGGTGGTGGGCTGAGACGGGTAGGGAGCAAGGCCCGGGCGGGGGTGGGGTGGGGGGCGGGAAACCTCCAACCCGGTTTTCTAATTCAAGGAGGAGCTTGGTCATAAGAAGCAGGGCAGTCAGTAGGAGTGAACTTTGTGGCCTTGGGCATTTTCGAAACCATCCGTCTACAAGGCGGGAACAGCACAGAGAGACTGCTGTGTAGTTCGTAAAAAGATTTTGGGAGACCCTGTATTGAGAGTCTCCCCCGAGATTGTTCCGTAATCTCTCATTGGAGAGTTGGTATGTATCTCGCCACCAGCACACTGAAGAGTATCTTCCTTCAGACAGGGATTGAGGAACGGAAATACCACCATCCTCCAGCCAAACTTGTGAGGACTGATTGCAAGGGAAGTGGGGCTCCAGATGTTGCACTAGAGGCGCTGCAAGTGTGAGCAGGTAATGTGGAGAAGAGTGACATTGTTAACAGAAAGCATCTAATTAACAATGACTTCATTTGATTGGAAGGATGAAAAAGCCTTTTTAAATCAATCCAGATTCACTGGCCTAAGCTCAGCCAATTTATGAATATGGAGCCTGACTGGGGTCTGCTTTCTTTCAAAGATGTCATCTTAGGGGTAATAGCATAGGTGAAGTCATTTGGTTACACTGTGGAAACTTTTATAGTGCCTTCCTTGGGAATTTAATTCAGTGCTTCTTCATTTTATTAGGAACAGACTGACTCCATCAACTGTGCTCTCCCTGTTTGGAGGCAGGACTGCTTGAAGCAATTAGGTTCACCAATTAGCATAGTTTTACTGACCCCAGCAGCAGCACCGCTCCTTAGATTATCCATTTCTTCAAAGTCAGGGAAAAGCTGGAGCACAACATGCTTCCCAGGTGTCCAGGTTGGGGAAATAAGCCCACAAGCAGGGTAGCACAGCAGTGCAAAAAGCTTTCTAAGAGTCCCCTGGTGTTTGTTCCAGCACCTTTGGTGGATTTTTCTCCCCTTTTCTGATTCTGGATCCTATAATACCTCCTTACTTTGACATAGCCTTTAACGCCTCTTTGCTTTGGTTGTATTTTGGCAGAATTGCATTTGAGAAAGTGAATTTTCTCTCTTCTTTTCTGTCCACCTGTATGCAAATGATGCTGTGGACAATGATGCTGTGGACAATGTTAGGGTCCAGAGAGAGGAAATTACTGAAGGGTCCTTTAACCCCGTTAGGTGATAAGGTTCCTTGGGTGTGTATGTGTGCGCACGTGCCCATGTGCATGCCTCAAAACTTAACAAGGAAACGCCAGAGGATGGATATGAGGAGATAAGTCATTGTTTTCCCTAAGGTATACTTGCAAGGTTTTGCTGCAATCTCTTCAATGTCACCTCAATCAGTTGGTGGCCAACATCTTTAGTAAAAGAAAAATGTCAGGAGCCCAAAGCAGTCTGGGAAAGAAGGAGCTTTGCTCTTGCTGCTGTCATGGGTAGGGAGGGGATTGTATTTACATAGCTGTTGTGTCTCTCTCCCCTAAAATATATATTCCTCTGTAAGATTGCACTAGATTAAATTGCTGACAGTTCATCAGTGGCAGCAACAAGGTAATACCCCTAACCTTATTAGATCAATAAGTACTAGATCCATGCATTGAATTAAAAATGCATCAGCCTGGCCAGGAATTGCAATCGTATGGCCATGGACCTCAGAATCGAAGATGCCACTCAAAAATTGACTAGTTAGCATTTATTTAATTTTCTTTTTCGGTTTTGGATCTGTGATTAGATATTCTGGGTTTTAACATTTCAGGGACCATTGTGACAGGTGTTTTTTTTTTGTTGTATATTTATTTCTTGAATATTATTTCACTAACTCCTCACATTTAACCACGAAAACGATGCATGCATTTAACAATAGTAATACACTGTGACTTTATGATTCTTGTTATTAGTTTTCATCTAGGGAATATACTTCCACTCAGAATACATTACTCTAGCAAGACATACTCAAGTGTATAAATTTCTGCATAGGCATCAATAAATTTAGATGTGTATGTTTTTGTCTAGCTATAAATAAATATACTCAATGTGAATGTATTACTGTACATTGATTAAAGTTTATTTTTAAAAAAGAAACCACATTTAAATTTATCTTCCAGCATTGTCAACTATATTGTAAACCAAAGAACTATTTGTCATTTTAAAACTATTCATTTATTTATTTATAACCTGATTTGCTTATTGGGATTTATACCACAAAAGATGAAGTTAAAATTTTCAAGTCTTTAAACTTAACACAGTACTTAGGAAGTTACACATATCTTAAATGGTTACATTTTATGTGTGAAAAAATACCTCAGATGTGGTTTACTAGAATTAGTCTGTAGCTTAGTGGGTAAATTTACAGTTAGTCCCTACTGAAACAGGGAACGGGTTTAACACCTGGAAGTTTAATGGCAAAAAGTAATATTACTCTAGCCAGATATTTGTTCATACTGATAAACGATGCTAATTATTTAAAAACATTCATCCCCTATTGATGTTAGCGAGCGTATATGGTACTGAATTCTGAAGATACAGTCATTGGGCCTTGGGTTCACCACACTGTGAAAGAAAAAATCTTTATTTGACGAAATAGGCAATCAACTGAAATCTATCCTCTTTAAATAAACTGATTCCTCAGTATTTTCCCAGTGTTGGTGTAAGTTGTTGTCTGTGATGTCCCCCAGGGCTCTTTCCTCTGCTCTCTGATTTGGTATATAAAAGCAGCTCTGAATGATGGATTACTGTGTCATTGCAGCCTGCGAAGGATTAATTTGTTTCATTGATTTCTCTTTAGGCAGATTGCCAGAATTTGCTGCTTCCCACCTTTCCTTAAGACTTCTAGAAGTAATAGACAGTAATAGCCTAAGACAAATCAGCTCCTTCTTATAAAAATAGAATCGTGAAACTAGGAGTCCCACGAAAGCTATGGCAAACTTTTTATTGGCATATGGGCAGAGCAATCACTAGGCTACTTTATATGCTTTAGAAATATTTTTAATTGAAAAACTTCCTTGACTTGTGACTTAAAATGCATGTTAATGGCTCTTAAGGAAGCATTTATAATGTTTGTCCCCTAAAAATTTTCTCTAATTTGTAGAGATCCTGTTTAACTCAGGAAAAAAATGTGTTGTCTACGTGATTGACAAACTTTTCTTTCTATGCCAGATTTTAGGATCAAATAACATGTCAATATAACTTTAAGTCAATTTACCTATAAATATTTATAGAATTATTTGACTCAAGTAGTTTTTAGAAACTTTGGACAAGGACAGAGAATATTGGAACATAGAAATAGAATTGTTTAATTGTTTGAAGGAAAAATCACCTTTTCTGATTAAAAAGGGAGTATCTGCTCACAATAAAGAATTTGCGAAAGTTAGAAATGACATTTTGTGTATTTTCTCTAAGCCTTTTTCCTCCAAGCATTTATACATGTATATATATGTGTGTGTGTGTGTTTTATATATATAAAATAAATATATACATGCATACATTATATATACATACATGTATATATAATATGTATATACACACATACATATATGTATTTATATAAAACTGTAGATACCACTTTGTGTCCTGTTTTTTTCAGTTGGCATTATACAATGAAAACTTTCCTATATAGTTAAAATTATTAGTAAAGTCATTTATATTGACTGTATAATGTTTTAACATATATGATTTAATTAATCGTTGTTCTGCTATTGGAGAGTTAAATTTCTAATTTTCCATAATTGTAAATAAAGTTATGATGAGTATCATTTAAATAAATCTTTAATCATCCCTCTGGTTATTTCCTTACAATTCTTATTAGAAAAGAAATTACTTAGACTGAGGGTGTAGACTGTTTTTTTTTTTTTTTTAAAGATTTTATTTTTTTCCTTTTTCTCCCCAAAGGCCCCTGGTACATAGTTGTATATTCCTCATTGTGGGTCCTTCTAGTTGTGGCATGTGGGACGTTGCCTCAGCATGGTTTGATGAGCAGTGCCATTTCCACGCCCAGGATTCGAACCAACGAAACACTGGGCTGCCTGCAGTGGAGCTTGTGAACTTAACCACTCGGCCACGGGGCCAGCCCCAGGTATAGACTGTTTTTTAAGGGTCTTGATATCAATTACCAAATTATTTTCCAGAAAGGTTCTTCCAGTTTATACTGGTACTGGTTAAAAAAGGTTTCTCTATAAAAGCACCATTCTAATTCATGTTACATGAGCAAAGAAAACAGAACAACACTCCTTTCCCTGTGTTCTGAAAGCGATGGTAGCACTTTGCATATACTTAGTCTCTAGAAGAGTTTTCCCAACTGCAGATGTGAGATAGGCTGGTTATACAAATCTATTTGTTTCCCTTCTGTAGTGCTGAAAATTATATTGATTTAATGATCTCAAGTTATACTTTTTATGCAATTAGTTGTGTAGTAAAAACTAATATTGTCATGTGCTAATGTCTTTTTTTCCTCTATTGTGCTATGGTAGTAGTCCATGCAATATCAGCAAGTTTATGCTTTTCCTGTGCTTTGCTGAAAGGAAAAAGGAACATCTGTTTCCATTATATCTCTGCATCATAATGATAACAATTAAATAGCTATTATGGTAGTATACAGTTAATATATTTTGTTGAATGACCTATACTTTCTTGTTGGAAAATTTCAGAGGCATTTAGTTTTTACAGGTAGTTTCCGTGTAGAGGTTTAAGAAGGCCTTTGGTTACTTTAGGTAAATCATTGCAGTTCCTATTTGTCTCAGTAAAAACAACGAACCCTGAGAATTAAACACTAGGCTCTCAGATGTGATTCTTGAAGATATTTCTCTTAGACATGTGTTTATAGTACAAATTATTAGCTATCTCAGTATTCTTAAATGGGTTAATCGTGCTACTAAGAATGCAGTTCATTTTGTGTTTTGTGCTATTTGTATACTTTTAATATTTTACTAAGCTGGAAATTGAAAATTGTTGTATAAATATATTTATAGCCTATTTCACTCTTTTTTCCCCTCATATTAGGGGGACGTAATGATATTTACCTTTCAAGCTCAGCAGGAGAATGTTTGAAACCACACGCTATTTCTATTGACCTTTAAAATTCCAGAGAAATATTTTCATTTATTTCACTCAGCTTTTGGTTGAAGATGTTTCGGTGGTTACGTAAAAAAAATGATTAGAAAGTATTTCAGACAAAAAAATGGAGTATAAAGAGAAATAAACACCCATGTACTCCAAACTCAATTTGAGAAATAAAATGTTACCACTACAACTGAAGCTATTCCTGATCATATTCCTTATGGCTTCTTGAAGAGATAATCATCATCCTGAATTTGATGCTTATCCTCCTTTTTGACTTTTGTGTGCTTTTTTTTACATGGTTTAAAAATTTGACATAAATGACTTGTCCTTTAAAATAAATACATTTTAAAATTGGAGCTGCGATGGCTGTTAGAACCTTTTTAGTCTGGTCACCTGTGCTTGGGCATGTCTCTCTGCTTTACTGTCCTTAACTGTGAAGTTTGGGATAGGTCTGTGTGATCTCTGATGTCCTTCTAGCCATAATTAAGTTTCTTGATTACCTCTTGTTTTCCATATGAAACAAAATTTAAAAAAAACAAACAAAAGACAGACCCAGAGAGGTTAAGTAAATTGCCCAAGACTGTGTAATAAATCACAGAGCCGGGAATCAAACTCGGTTCTCCTGACTTCCATTCAGGCCCTCCTTTCTCATTCCGCATCGTCTGTCATCCTTGGGTCCTGGATGACTGACCACTGCTCTAGCCTCTGGTTAAACACCGTCCACAGGCTTGTATGATTTTGTGATTGTGCATGCAGGAAAGGTTTTTTCACTTAGACTATCTTTTCTGTAGGGAAAACATCGAAGCCATATCAACCGGGAAGCTACTTACAGAACGAGAAAACTGTGTGTCCAGCAGAGCTCACGATTCCCTTCAGTATTTGCTGGACTTTCCTGGAGAGGAAGGTAGTTTTGGTATTAAGAGACTTTCGATAGGCTGCTTACCCTGTAGTTAATTTTCTGATCTCTTCCTGGTAACTGGACCAGGAAAACAGGGATGGGCACAAACACTAGTGTCTCTTTACATGTATATATCTAAATTTCAATATATTTTGGCAGTCAAGACTTTCACAAATTACTTCTTCCTTTTTTATGTAGCTTATGCTGTAGTCAAATCACAAATGACTTTCATTTCAAAATGAGTTTTTTTCTTGTTTCTATTTAGCAGCCAACTTACCAGAGCACTAAAGTGAAAGTAGCACAAACAGAATAATGTGGAAACGCATTTTTAACATCTCTTTGGAGAAAAACCCCATTCTAAAAATGGCAACTTAGAATTACATGCGTGTACATTCTGTTTCAGGTTTTTACCCTAACAAATTTAATTCATCCTTAGTTGAGATGAGTAAGCTTGAGGCGTAATATTCTCACAGTGCCGTGCCTTGCCTATGAAAAAATAGCAGTATGACTAGAGGTGGAGTTAAGTATCCTATTGTAAAACCATCTTTTCCCACATCTGTTGCTTCAAGATCAGAAAGTTGGTTTAGTAAATTATTTGCTTCCTTCTACAAATACATACTTGGAAACTTGTAATAGTAGTAATCATTCTTTTTAGGGCAGATGAAACTACTAATAGTAGCTCTGTCAATGCTATAAATGTTCTCAAGTTGGTGTGTTTTAACAAGCAAGCCAGATAAGACATTTTTCTTTGGGTATTTTAGGTCAATTATCTTATGGGCTCAGCAGCTCCTGGTAGGAAATTTTCCCTAGCTTATGAGGTTGAGGAGGAGAAACCCAGTGTAATCAGATACCAGCATTCAGTCCCCCTTTTACGTAGTCATTGCTTTATTTGCTCACTTCACTAAATAGTATTTCTTTCATTTCTGTATTATTTCTGTCTGGAGGGAAAGCTCTGTGTATGTGTATGTGTGTGTGTATGTAAATATTTCAAAAGGCAATCTTTGTCTAGTTGAAAGTTCTGATAAACGTCTGTAACGTGTAATATAAGGAATTTTCTACACTGGTTAAATTTCCCTGTGTTGCTCTGGCAAGTAGGTGAAACCCAAGAGAAAAGGTGCAGATAAAGGAAACTTAGCTCCCTGCTAACCTGTTTTCTCCCTGACCACAATATGAATCTGGATGATGGTGGTGGGCATACAGACTCGTAACCACCAAACCAGCAATGCTTAAACTAGAGAGACTGCAGAGAGACACAAGAATCTCTAGTTCACATATAGTCCACATATGTTACCTCACTCTCTTAGTTATAATAGCTCTCTGTAGAAAGGTGATGTGATATTTACAGAAACAACAACAGAATATGGTAAAAAGATAATTTTTTTTTGCCATATATACTACCGGTATTATAGGTGCTTACATATCTGCACTGTTTTTACTCAGTTCTTAATACTTCACTTTAGACTAAGTTGAGATTATTTCAAAACTAGCATTGGCTGTATATTTTCTATTGACATGGCCAACACACAATTTCCAGCTGTGACTTCAGACTTTGTGGGCAAAAGGGGTAGAATTTTCTTCTACTAATGTTAGATTTGCACATTGTAAAATTCTGTTCATGGCCTGTTTTGATTTCCCAGCTCTTTAGGATTTTCCCATTCTTTGCTTCTTAAGAGAATTATGTTACTGTTGTGCTTATTGTTCTTGAGGTGTAGATAGTTAACACCTATTTATTGAGTTGTTGTCATGCTTAAGGCATGTAAGGTAGATAAAGGCATTCCTGCCCTGAGGGGGATACTTATTGATATGGTCTTTTGCCAATAATTTAACAGATTATATTTTCTTAATGTATCTGTGTGATTGTATTAATATTACTTTATTAGCACTTTAAGAGAAAAAGAAAATACATTTAGTTTTCCATCGCTATTCTTTACCTTTTGAAAAAATTCTTAGAATTATAGTTTGGGGTCAACCAAAATGATATTATTCCTTTTTAAAATTATTTTACTGAGATCATAATGGTTTATAACATTGTGTAATTTCAGGTGAACATTATTATTTATCAATTTCTGTGTAGATGGCATCATGCTCACCACCACTAGTCTAGTTTTTATCTGTCACCATATATATCTGCCCCTTTACCCCTTTCATCTACCTCCCAGACCACTTCTCTTCTGGTAACCACTAATTTGTTCTCTTTATCCATATGTTTATCTTCTACATAAGAGTGAAATCATGCAGTATTTGTCTTTCTCTGTCTGGCTTATTTCGCTTAACGTGATGCTCTGAAGGGCCAACCATGTTGTTGCAAATGGGATGATTTTGTCTTTTTTATGACTGAGTAGTATTCCATTGTATATATATACCACACCTTCTTTATCCATTCATCCATAGAAGGGCAATGGGTTGCTTCCATGTCTTGGCTATTGTGAATATTTCTGCAATGAATATAGGGGTTCATAAATCTCTTTGGATTGTTGGTTTCAAGTTCTTTGGATAAATACCCAGTAGTAGGATAGCCAGATCATATGGTATTTCTATTTTTAATTTTTTGAGAAATCTCCATGCTATTTTCCATAGTGGCTGCACCAGTTTGCATTCCCACCAGCAGTGTATAAGGGTTCCCTTTTCCCCACATCCTCTCCAGCACAAAATGATATTATATTATTCTTAATATAGTATCTTGAATAAATAGAATATGGCATATGCTAACTTTAAATCATTTTTAAAAAAAATAAGATCTATGAATTTTTCTTAATACTCTAAAGTATTTTGTTTAAATTAAGTTTGCCAATCTATCTCTCTGTAAATAAAAAATAATTGCATAACAATGTTTTCTGAAAAGTGGCCTTATGTAACTTATTTAACAAGAAGCAGGTTCATTTTTTTAAAAAACTCAACTAATAAAATCTGTTTGAATTAAAGTTAGGAGCTATACTAAGTATGAAGGTAAAACACGTTTTCATAAATATTTAGAAAAATACCTGTGTTTGGTCTTGACCTCACATTAGCTTTGGTGCTAATATCATTGAATTTATTGTAGTTTTGAAGATTTTTTTATAGTTCACCAAAGCTTATTAAAAGATGTTAAGAATAATTACTATTTGGCTCTCTCACAAGGAGAAGTAGGTTGTTGATACATTTTTCTACAAATTTGACCAAGATAGATAGCTGTTTTAGATAAAAAGGTTAACAAAAATACGACCATCTTCTCTATAATAATTGCAGTCTTTTTGGACTTAATTATGTAGTTTCTTCTATTTCTTTATATGTAGGTGTAGAGGTAAGTTTCGGCTTATAAGTATTGCAATTAGCAGTGGAAGTATAATTTGTATCTTGTGCAGAGTATTTGTGTGATATAACAAAGTCCTTTTGAATTTTGGTGATCGATTGGGTTTTGTACACATTTCTTAAAGCAAGTATACAAATTTCAAAATAAGTCTCTTTTCAATTAGTTACATTTTTGAGATGTGTATTTTATAAGATTTATATTTAAAAAGAGGCAACAACCACATCAGTTAATACATGGTAGGAGGTTACGTAACAGTGGATTACTATTACGCTACTATTACAGTGGCCATACAATTGGAGTGAACCTGGTGTCAGTCTAAGTTGTAAAGGCATGTTTTTTGGGCTGGCTAGAGCTTAGTGATCTAAGAGAATAAAGGAGTAATATTGTAGAGCAAGAAAACCGCATACCAACTGATGTCTGTGACTGAGCTGAAAGTCACTGATATGCTGTTTGTATTTCAATTCCAATATTAATAAGTTTAAATGTGTTTTGAGTTTTCACAAATAGTTTTAAAATTCTGAAAGTCCTGCATTTTATAGTAAGGAACTAGCCAAAGACAATATTTTTATATACAGTATGTGTGATCAAGATTTTTGTTCTTATATAAACTTGCCTAATTATTTGTCCTACCAAGAGGAGTGTAAAAAGCCTTAATTTATAAATTTTAATTTTTATGTAAATAGTTAAACCATATTATCATCTTTATATGCTAAGCACATTTCATATATTATTTAATCCATTTATGTAAAATGTAAAATTCTCGTTTTACTGCTGAAGAACTTGATGCTCAAACAAGGTTAAGTAGTTTGCTCAAGTCAGATAGCTGATGAGTAACAGAGCAAGGATTTGAACTGAAGTATATGTCACTCTGGAGCCCATTCCTGGTCCATGCTGATTTCATTCCTCTTTATCAAGTAACTCATTATACTACCCTTTGATTTTAGTATGGGTCAAATTGTATTCTCACAGGTACACAAAATGCATAAAGCAACTCTCTTATAAAAGAAAAGAAAATCAATAAAATCTCATGTTATTCTCATGTCCCAATTTCTATAGAGTAATAACATTCTCCAAGGTTTGATTATGTGATGCTGTATATATAAATGGTACTATATAGAATGAAGGATGAATCATATCTAAGAGTTTTTTGACACTAGGTTGGTTTAACTATTAAATGGCCCCTTTGCGACCAGATTGAAAAATGAATAGAAAGAAATTTTATTATTTCTGATTTACAATGTTTCTTCAGAATGTTTTTGTCTTTTGTGACTTCCAGGGAAAAAAAATCATGATTTCGTTCAGTAAAGTATATTGTTTTGCTGTAACAAAGTACCACAAATGGGGTATCTTAAGCAACAGAAATTTATTGTCTTCCAGTTTTGGAGGCTAGAAGCCCAAGATCAAGGTGCATGTAAGGGCTGTGAGAAAGAGAATCTGTTCAATGCCTCTCTCCCAGCTTGTGGTGGTTTGCTGGCAATCTTTGGTGTTCCTTGCCTTGTAGTTGTGTTACCATGATCCCTGCCTTCATCTTCACGTGGTGTCCTCCCTGTATGCTTCTGTTTCTGTGTCCAAATTTCCCCTATTTATAAGGATACCAGTCATATTGAATTAGAGCCCAACCTAATAACCTCATTTTAACTTGATCATCTGTCAAGACCCTATTTCAAAATAATGTCACATTCCTAGGTACTGGGGTTAGGGCTTCAACATCTCTTTGGGGGACACAATTCAACCCATAACAATTGGCAATTTTTTCTGAGATCATAGATTTGAAAACTCTTTAGTAGTGGCTATATATGTAAGTTTTCAATTTATCAGATTATTGGTATGATTATATGCACATGTATCCACAAATGAGTTGTGTCTGAATATTTGTTTTGGAATAGGACTGACTTTGAACTAGTATTCTTGTAAAAAACTGTAGGAAGAACAAACTATTCAGGAAGACTTTCAATAAATGATATAAATGGATATCACAATGCGTGGGGCAGATAATGAGCTATTGGTAATGCATGTACAAGATCAGTATAGTTGGTGGTATGATGAAGTTGGGATTCAGAGAAAGAGGATGTTACAGAAGCAAAAAGGACATGGGTTTAGGTCCTGATGTAGGAATGAGTGTTTTATGTATTGTGGGCTGTGGTGGCGAAGGGAGGATTTGAGGCCAATTACGTTGTCAAGGAATTCCGGCTCTGGCCCTTCAGGGTTAATGCCAGTTTTAGCTATTAAGTTTTGAGGAATCTCTCTAGGATTTATTTTTAATTTTATTGTGTAGAAAATTTGAAATATATCAGTAACAAGAAGAAAAACGTGACCTATAACCTCACTACCCAGAGCTAGTCATTATTAATATTTTGGCACCTTGGTATAATTCCTGTGAAATTCCTGCCATGCTTTTTTTGAGATTATGTCATGTAAGCAGTTTTCTAAAATAAATTAGAGTCTGTAGTGTTCTCTAAATATATATCTGAATTCGATACCCACTGGATAAGAGACCAAATCGTCATTGGTGATGAATTGGGTCACCATAATTCCATATTCCATAAACCATTAGGTCAAGCCAGCTTTGTCTCAGTTCTTTGCCTTCAATCTTGTCCTTACTCCCATCTTTCACACTGCTGCCAAGATCTTTTCAATGATCAGGTCACTCTCCTGGCTTACCTCCTTCAGTCAGGACAGAGGTCCAGCTATTTAGCATAATAAGGCACCTCTGTGATCTTTTTCATGCCTTTTTCTTCTCGTCTGCTGCTTTCCCAAAAGCTTCTTGAAGTTCTCAGAATATCATGAACTCTTTTGCACCTCTATAATTTTTCACCTCTTCTCTCCACTAAGAATGCCCTTTCTCTGTTTATTCCTTTGTCCAGCAGCTACTCATTTTTTAGTACTCATCTCATATGATATTTCTTTTCTAAAGCCTTTATTCTAAGCCAGTTTTCCCTTCCTTTTAGTATCTGTACCACTTTCTGCAAAACTTTTTGGACACTGATTATGGAGTATTACAGTGACCAATTTCCATCTTTATCTTTCTTACTGTGAGTTATTTAAGGACAGGAATCGTGTGTTATTTACACTAGTATTCATGGGACTTAGCATGGTACCTAGTGGTGTTTGAGCAAAACGTTTGCTGATTGAATAAATAATCTTGTCTTTTCATCTAAAACTGTCCTGCCAGGAATGGTGGCTGTAGCTAGAATAAGTGATAGTTTTTGGGGTGACAGGTAAGGTAGAAAGATGACTAGTTCAGCTCAACTTATCAAGCATTCATTAAGTGTTTACAGTTTGTAAGATGCTCTGCTGGGCATTGTGGAAATGGGAAACCAAAATGAACAGGAGCTTTAGGAGTTCACAGCCTAGGAGAGGACTCCTAATTTTGATGAGGTGGTGGGGGATGACAGTAAGGCATATAATGAAGAGTTTTTAAGGAGAATGACCCAATAAAATCGAACTGTGATTGGAAATGTTTGTATAGTGCCATAACAAAGTTTATTTGTTCCCAGGTGGCAGTGGACCTACGTCACAGGTTGTAGCAAATGTTCTCAACATTTCTATTGAAACCTTTATCTCTGCTTGCAAGAGGAGCCCCAGAGCCTCATCCCTGTGGGAGTGACTGTCCTCTGGTATGATGCTGTGCTTTTCCACTTCATCCTTCCTGTTCTAGCAGAGCACCTGGGTTAGAATTTAGCTGTTTGTTAGTGCAAACAATTATGTAGAACTGAAAGTGGAATGTTTCAATAATATCGATATTGTGACTTCTTTGAGATTGCGTAGTATGCCTTGTTATTTTTATACCTGTTCACAGAACCCCTAAATAGTGAGTGCCTTGCTCATTGTAGGTACTTAGCATTATAATTTCGTTTGAATTGTATCTAGTTGTGACCTGCTTTTTATTAATTTTTAACAGATGCTAATTTAGTTTTTTGTTCCATTAAATAATAAAGAAGTACATAACATTAATTTTACTTATACTTAAGAGCTATGTCTTCAAGTAAAGTTTAACCAGCTCTTCAACTCTTAGGAAGGAGATTCAACTGACCATATTCAACTGATAAAATTCTGTATCAGGAATATTTAATTACAAAACTTCTGTCTGTATTAACACGAATGAACACTGTAGCTAGTAATGAAAATATTTTTTTCTTCATAAAAAGTAGAATTATTTTTCAGAATTTTGGGAAATGTCAAAGTAATTTTGGCTGCAATCATACTGCATTTAAGGCTATTGAGACTATTGCTAACATTAACAAAAATATTCTGTAATTTCCTCAGTTATTGCTACTGGTGATGAGGGTTGCAAAGCTGGCATGCTTTCATGTTTTGAGCATTTTCTTTCTTTTTTTTTGCTTGAGGAAGATTCACCCTGAGCTGACATCTGTTGCCAATCTTTCTCCTTTTACTTGAAGAAGATTTACCCTGAGCTAACATCCATGCCAATTTTGCTTTATTTTGTATGTGGGTCACTGCCACAGCATGGCCGCTGCCAAGTGGCATAGGTCTGTGCCTGGGAACTGAACCCAGGCCGCTGAAGCAGACTGTGCTGAACTTAACCTCTAGGCCACGGGGCCCATCCTTGAGCATTTTCATTATACACTTCTGATTTTACATGTCAGAAGCAATCTTTGTTTAAGTGAAGACAGCTGAGAACATTTTTACTTAGGGATGGAGGTCGGGCTCTGATTATTTGTGTTTTTAGGTCAGTGATGTATAGAATACAGTGAATGTATCAGAGTAAATACATGTACAATTTTTTATGTAACTATTGTATAGTATTTATAAATTTCTGTGACTTTCTTTTTAGTTCATCAGAACATAGTGGTTTGGGACCAAGGCGTAAGTTTCATTTCTATCTCGATCATTTTATTTTGTTATTTTCTGTGACCACTGGTAACACTCATCTTGCAGATATAAGCGTTGTTCACCAGGGAGCTTTGGCAAGAAAACTGGCTAGATCAGCAAGTCCATCTCCACTGTGAAAAAGCAACTTGAAGCTCATCTCTATTGACGGTGAGTCAGTGTCATCTTCAGACAGGGAAGATCTCGTTAGTATTATTTTATGTTTTCAGTGTTATCAAACAACAGTTTGGCTTAAACTTTGTTTTATGTGACATTATTGGGATGTTGGAACATAATGCTTCATTACTTGAGTCTAAAGGATCACACAGAAATCAACCCCACAGTGAAAACGAAAGGAAGTAATAATGTGGTGTTTATGAATATATCTAAAAGTAGTTTGATTAGCTTTTCTCTCTCACCTCCATTCTTATTTCCATATGACACATTCTAGCTAACTTATAATTCATGACTTTTGTTTGAATGAATATTGGCTAGAACAGAATCACATATGTTATGTGCTTATTTTAAAATATATTACTGATTTCAGGAAATTTCAGGATAACTGCAGCGTCAATGTAAAAATTCTCTTCCGTTTTCCTATAGATTATTTGGTCTTTCAATTGCCAGCCATTGTTAATGCTGCTACAGGCTTGCTATCCTACAGATATAGTGGATGACTATATATGTTTAGTATTATTACGACAGTTAGTAGTGTATCTACATAGCAATCTGTAGTTCAGGTCAATATCATTTAATGCATGTTTCATAATCATATAATTTCATTTTACTGTACTAATTACATTTGTGACTTGACCCAAATTTACCTGACCATGAAGTATGTGTATATATGAGAATGTGTGTGTATGTGTGTGTGTATCTATAAGTAACTTGATACAGTTACTGATGTTGCTTTGACCCTCTTTATTCTAGTTTTAGCCTGAGTTATCTCCACTGTCAGATTGTCAAAGTAAATTTTCTTTTACAGTCTTGCTTTGCTAGTATTCTGCCTTTTATGTTGTTGTTATTATCGTTTGATTTTTTTTCTTTCGGGGTATAAACAAATCCCAAGATCAAAGACTGGTAGGACTGATGCTCACTGAAGTCAAAAGAAAGGCCTACCTGTAGGGAGAGGCTCCTTACACTACAGGTACATGACGTTACCTGATTATAACCAGCCTTACCATCTGTTCTAAATGTTTCTGTAAGAGACCATGAAGTAAAAAAAGGAATAACATGGCACTATATTTGGAGAAAAGATTTGATTGTACAATTTTCTTTTCCTCGAAAAGGCTCCTAGTTTTTCTGCAGTAAGATTGGACTCTCCCTTCCTATGCTGTATAAGGAATTATTAAGCATAACTTGATGCATTTTTAAAAATCTTGTTCCTTGACAACATTATTTTTAGATGATTTGTCTCAGTATTATTATTATTTTCACATTAAGCCTGCCTTCAACATTTTCAGTTGGAGTAGACTTCGGAAATTTCTTTAATATTATAATGCAAGTCAAACAAAATTGTTTTATGTATAAACTTAAGTTTATCATAAGTAGAATAATTTCTATTATAGTTTTAATAATAAAATTCTATTTATTGAATAATTAATATTTGCTCAGCTCTATGCTAATGCTTTCTATAGCTCATTATATCCTCACAACAGTCATATGGGGTAGGAATAATTATCCCAGATTTAGAGATAAGGAAACTAAGACTCAAAGAGTTTAATAATTTGCATAAGGTCAATGGTTGACCCAAGATTCCAACCCTGGACTGTCTGACCTCAGAGTTTCTCTTCAAAGCTCCTGTTTATAAGTGCTGTTAAGCTGCATGAAGCTTTTATGTATGCAACTCAGGGCTGGGCTGCTTCACTTTTGAAGCATAGTTTGGCTCGTTCACAATGGTTTTGTACTGGTGATTGAGGTACACCAAAATGTGTCTGGCCAAAACATTTGCTTTTGTAACTTTATGTGGACATAACTTTTGACAGTCTGTCAGTATATTATGTATACTTAATGTCGTGTGTGTGCATATGCATATATCACATGTATGAATTGTTTAAGTGGACTCTTAATGATGCCTACTTGGAAAACTTGCTGTATCTTTAGTGTCTGCTCCAATCTTCAGGTGGTAGAATTGTTGTTTAATTCACAAGTTTGCTGGAGGCTGAGAGCCTTGTTCTGGGAGATCATTTACGTATGAATATAAAACAGGTAGGCTAAAATGGTGATATTAGTTCTTTAACAGATGTGTAATAAAATGTGAAATGTTAGTTTGACCATTGCTGAGGCAAGCCAAATGCATAAATTGTTTAGACATTATGGAAATCTATGATCCTGTGATTTTTATACTTAAAATCCTTCAATGGTTTCTATTGTTTATAAGATACAGATTGTGTTCTCTTTAGTGTACATACAAGGTGTTTTGTTATTGGACCTTTGCATACTAATTCAAGCTTACCTCTGGCAGCCCTCTCCCTTACCACTCAACATCATATATACTCCTTACATGTCAACCTTGGTTAAACTGAATAGTGTAGTCACCCTACCATGATTAGCTATTTGGCACTTTTGTCTTCATTAGTATTTTCCTTCTTACCATTATGATCTTTCCTCTTTGCTCCCTGGTAAGTACTGACTGTTCATTCAAGATTCAGTTTTGTTATCTCTATGAAGCCTTTCCTGACTACTGACCTCTGTCATTGAACCTTATCTTCTTTGAGACTTTTTAGTGCATAGGTCTATTGTAGAACATATATTTTATTGAACTTGTTTACTTTTATGTCTCTTTCTAACTAGACTATAGATTTCTTAAGGGTGAGTGCAAAGGCTATGTGTCTAATACATTTTTGTATCTCCAATTTTTTTTTTTTGGCAATGGCCAATCTTCTGCTTTTTGCCTGTGGAAGATTGTCCATGAGCTAACATCTGTGTCAGTCTTCCTCTATTTTGTATGTGGGATGCCACCACAGCATGGCTTGATGGGTGATGTGTTGGTCTGCACCTGGGATCTGAACTTGCGAACCCTGGGCTGCTGGAGCAGAGCATGTGAACTTAAGCACAACGCTACTGGGCCAGCCTCTCTATCTCCAATTTTTAGCCCAATAGTTGGCACATAGTAGGTGCTAAATAAGCATTTGTTGATTGAATGAATGAATGGTTAATCTCAATAGGAATGAAAAGATGATTCTTACAGTTGGTGTGATAATGGTGACAAACTGGATTCCAAGGTGGAGTGCTGTTACACTTTTCAGGGAACATTCAGTTGGACCATGATATCCTCCCTGAGGTCTCACCATAATTGTAATAGCTTCTTGGAGTCAATAAAGTGTATATCTGGAATTTTGTTATCTTGAGCAACCAAACATTTATTATTGGAAATTTACCCACAAAATTTAGAAAGTTGAATTTTTTCATAAATATCAGATGTCAATAACAAATATAATAGATTTTGACTTAGGGATTTAATTACTTTCCTTAAGGAGGTCCACGTGTGCGCTAGTATTATAATCAATCTAAAGTTGGCAAAGTTCCTTTCCGCTTGAAAATGATGAAGAGTAAGTCAAAAAATGAGCCTAATTGTTATCACATTTAACGTTTCATTTTCTTAAAACTGTGCAATTCTTATGTCCTGCCATCCTCATTAAAATGCTTATAATGGCCAGTATTATCATAATGACAAATTCTTACATAGTTTAGTAGTTTTACATTCTAAAAACACAAATTTATCATATTACCCCTTTAGTAATATGCCAAGCTTTAAGTTGGTTTATATTTTGTCAATTTATAATTTAATAAGATTATATTTGTTGGAGGTCAAATGTTCTTTGGCCATCAGCTTATATTGTAGTTTTAACTGAGGAAAGAGTATAATGAAGATATAAAAAGAAGCCTAAGTCTTCTGATATTAACCAGATTCTGTTAAATAATTTTATTTGTTTTAGACTATATGGTAGCAACTTAAGAAAATATACTGAATTAGAATGAGCTGTGCTGAAATAACATATTCACTAAATAAATAAAATGAGGCGAGTGTTGAGGGATTGGAAGGAATGAAATTTTCCTTGCTCAGGATGTAAACACTAGGACTTTTAATTTTGTAGGAAGACATTAAATACTCTGGTCATTCAACTTGTGTATCCTTTAGCCTATTTGATTGTCAAAAACTTCTAAGTAAATACAATGATTTAATTTGTGCTGCTGAGAAACAGCTATCAAAAATGGCAATAAAAGTCATGTAATGAAATAAGAATACTAAAAAAATCCAGGGATTTTACTGTGGCTCATTATTCATTCCATTTCTGACAGCCTTCATGATTGCAAATCACTTGATTGACTAACTAGACATTCTTAAAGTGAATTATGAATCAGGTTCATTTTTCCTGGTTGATAGTTGGCACATGCTGTAACTCTTACACTTTGTGATATATCAAATTCTTGTAACAGTAATAAGAGATATAATCAACTCTTTATTTCAGGAAAACTAAATTGCCTTTTCAAAAAATGAAATGCACTTGCTAACATTTTAACAACACAATGTAATTCCTGCCTTTGTATCCCAGGGTGGAATTCACAGTGATGACGTTATTTTTCAGATTAAAAACAAAAAAGTCTTTAGAGTGATTTTCTATCAGGCATAAAACTCCTATTGATATCAGTTCTATAGGCTGCTTGGGCAGTTGCCGGAGCCTAGGTTGCAAAAACAGTTATATTTCTTTCCTTAGTATTTAAAAAATGCATGATGGAGGAATTGCACATTTTTAACATTTTCCTTTGAAGGAAATGCAGTTTTCCCTAAATACCTAATTTGTAATTAGGCCATGATGTTGCAAACTTAAAAATGTGGACATTTTAATGGTTATTAATAGAGAGGGTCTCTTTTTGAGTAGGAAAAAGGGTCCATAGTGACCTGAATCTTGAATCTTTCCAGTTGTAAAACTGAATCAAGGGGGCCAATTCTGCTTTCAAATGCATTCTGTTCTCTTTTGACTTAAGTATTCTTCATGCATAACTACACCGGCAATTGAGTGGCAGGAAATTCCTATAGTACGACTGCATTTTCTTTAATCCCATCCACCCAAGCAATTCAAAATAAAATGGGTGCTCTTTAATGTGACATATTCAAAATTTGAGAATCTTACACAAAATTCAGTCATCGCCTTAGTAAATGTGAGGTC